ACCAATTTTAGATAATGGCAGTCAGGGAAGGTCTCTTCAAGCAGGTAACAAAGGAGCAGGGATCTGAATGACTAAGACCTACAGCATCAGAAAGAACAGTAAACATAAGGCCCTGAGGTGTTATATCTGATCCATGTTTGGCAAGGGGTTACTAATAAAATATACTCCCTGACTCCAAAGAACTTAATATATCTAAAGACCTGACAATATGAGACAAAAGTCAGGTATCAAAATAAATGTTTCTAGCAATGCTATGAAATTTAAATACTGCCATAGGCACAGAAAGAGGTAACATCTAATTGTATATGGGTCTTAATGAATTAATATAATTCCAGTTCACAGAAGTGAGGGAAGGAGCTTTTCATCAGAGGCAAAAGAACAAAGAGAAACAAGAATTATGAAAGTATTACACAAAGACAAGCCTGCTGACCTAAATTAGAGAATGTGAGGGTGAAAAGAAAATGTAGGTCAGGATTAGGACTAGAATGCCTTTACCCATTTTCATTTAGAATATACCCATTTATATAAAACCCAGCTAAAAAGTCTATTCCTTTACGAAGTATTCACTCCAACTCCCAAAACCAATTGCTTCCTCTCTTCTGCACTGCCAGTCATTTTCCCATTCATGTCTAATTCCCACAGATTACTTTTTTGTCACAAAATCCACATTCTATATCAAGTGCCATCTCTTTCAAGCATAGTTCCTAACACAAAAGCAGTGTCCAAAACATATTTATTCAATCACCTAAGGTAGAATAGAATGGGAAGGGTCTCTAGATTAGAAAACTCAACACAGTAAAGATGCCAATTCTCCCCAAATTCATCTATAGGTTTAATGTAATTCCTATCAAAACCCCAGCAAGGTATTTTATAGACAAAGAAAAGACTTATTTTAAAATTTTTATGGAAAGACATAGGCTCTACAACAGCTAAATTAATCTTGACAAAGAAGAATCAAGTGAAAGGAATTACTCTACCTAATATTAAGGCTTACCACATAGGTACAATAATTGAGATAGCACAGTATTGGTGAAGGAATGGACACAACAGAAGAAAAAAGAGAAACCAAAAATAGACCCACCCAAATGTGTCCAACTGATTTTTTTTTTTTACAAAAGTGCAAAAATAATCTAATGGAGGAAGGATAACTTTTTCAACAAATAGTACTATAGCAGCTAGAAATCCATAGGCAAAAATCCAATACAAACTTTAAACCCTAAAATGGAATGTGAACTTAAATGTAAAAGATAAAACTATAAAACTTTTAGAAAAAAACAGAAGAAAGTCTTTGGGATCTGAGACTAAGCAAGAAGTTTTTAGACTTGAAAATATAGTCCATAAAAGGGAAGACTAATAAATAAGATCTTATCAAAATTAAAATATTTTGCTCTGCAAAATACCATATCAAGAGAATGAAAGATAAGCTACAGACTGGAGAAAATATTTGCAAACCACATATATGACAAGAGTAGTATCAAGAATATATAAAGAACTCTCAAAAACAGTAAAAAATCCCAAACAATCCAATTAGAAAATGGGCAAAAACCACGAAGAGATAATTCACTGAAGATGACAGAGAGATGGTAAATAAACATATGAAAGAATGTTCAATATTACTAGCCAACAGGCATATGCAAATTAAACCCACAACGAAATACCACAACACATCTATTAAAATAGATAAAATAAAAAATAAATGCTGGCAAGGATGCAAAGAAAGTGGATCACTCATACATTGTTAATAGGAATATAAAATAGCACAGCCACTTTGGGAAACCATTTGGCAGTTTCTTACAAGAACTAAAGATGCAACTAACATATGACCTAATAATTGCACTCTTAGGTTCACACAAAAACTCATACACAAATGTTCACAGTCCAAAACAGGAAATAACCCAAATGTCCCTTTAACGGGTGGATGATTAACTAACTGTACATCCACACTATGAAATACAACTCAGCAATATCCAGACAATTTATGCTGAGTGAAAAAAGCCAATCCCAAAAGGTTACATACTGTGTGTACTAGTTATGTATTCCTGAAATGACAAAGTTATAGAAATGGAGACCAGATTAGTGGTTGCCAGGGGTTAGGAAAAGGCCAAGAGCAGGGAAGAGTAACATGAAAGATCTTTGTGGTATGGAAATATTCTGTATTTTGATTGTATCAATGTCAATTTCCCGATTGTGATACTGTACTCTATATAGTTTATAAGATGTTATCACTGGGGGAAGCTGGGTAAAGGGTTCATGGTATCTCTCCATTATTATTTTGTTTATTTCAAGAGACAGAGTCTTACTCTGTCACCCAGGCTAGCATGCAGTAAGTGGTATGATCATAGGTCACTGCAACCCGGAAATTCTGAGATGAAGCCATCCTCCAACCTCAGCCTCCTGAATAGCTATGACTACAGGCAAGTACCACCACACCTGACTAATTTTTTTTTCTTTTTGTAGCAACAGGGTCTCCCTATGTTGCTCAGCCTGGTCTCAAATTCCTGGCCTCAAGTGATTCTCCCACCTCAACCTCCCAAAATGCTGATTATAGGGGTGAGCCACTGCACCTGGCCTCTACATTATTTCTTAAAACTGCATGTGAATCTACAATTAGCTCCAACAAAAATGTTTAATTAAAAAAATGGATGGAAGGCAAAGTAAACTTTAACAAGGAAAAGATACCTTTGTTGGTGAAAAAGGAGACGTTAGAGAATGGGTTGACAGAGGCAGTGTATGAGATGGGGGAATCCTCTCTCTAAGCTCAAGTTCAATGTTAACTGAGTTAAGGACAGGGGCTATAAAAAGAGAGGCTCAGATGGCAGAACTGGGAGCTTTAAAGGAATCAAGAAAACCTGGAATATTAAAGTCTGTGGAAAGCACGGTTAAGAATCAACAACAAAACAGTATCCTCTACTTACTGCATGTTAAGCATTATTTTTTATTTGCTAATTCATTACACAGAAGTTAATTCTGTTTTATCCATATTCAAAGTATTCACTAAAACTGAAAATTTTTCTAAAAATAAAGTTATTTTATATCACTACAATTTGCATGTTACTGTGAAATTCAGCATAATGGAACTTTATTTGCAGAATCATAACAAAGTCCTAATAATACAAAAGCAAATATTACTACTGTCATCCCTTTCCTAAAGAAAAGGATAAGGGCAATAATGGGTCAAAATAGAAGATGTCTTACACTTGCACAAAAATTAGCAACAAATATATCCAGATTCTCAACCAAGAAAGTAACTACTATAATATTCAATTTTTTTATGTCCCTCACACAAAGAATCTCTTTTTCTTCCTCTTACTGGAATACGAGAACTTCCGTAACTGGAGAACTTCCGTAACTGGAGAACTTCCGTAACTGGCTAATGTAACAAGCAAGGTTTGTTTTTATTAACACTTTTAATCTTTTTACATTACATGCACTTCAGGAAAGTCCATGGAGCTTGAATGTGCCAGGATACTTAAGCAGAAAAGTTATAAGCTTGCTGCATGTGAACTTCCCAAAGCTGCAACAACATTCATTTTGAGAACATTCTTAGACTAAATTCATTGTCAGTGATACCTAATAAAATTCTTAATTATAACCAACAGGCTCTATTCATACTAAATCAGATAAATGTGTCAGTTAATTATTAATAATACTTAACTTTAATTCAACAAATATTTCCTGAATGGTTATTTCCAGTCACTGCACAGGGTGTCCCAAAAGTCACCGTACATAGGGAAAATGGGAAATTGTAGCCAAATGTATCATTGTTTACAAAATATTTACTACAAAATTTTTCCTTTTGGGACACCCTGTAGAGGGACTGAGGATATAGCAGTGATGAAAACGTACCTACTGTTTCTTGCCTAGTGAACAGGAAACTACAGTGAAATTTAATGAATGCTAAGATGCAGATTCATTCAAGGAGTCATAGCTACAGAGGAGCATGAGAAGTCATCTAAATCAATAAGAAGACAATCAGACCCATAGAGACCTGGAGGATGAACAGGTATCAGCCATTTGAGAAGTGAAGGGGGGAAAATATAACAAACTGGCATGAATATTTATAGTCATTCACTTAAAAAAAATACACTAAAATGATTATAAGGAGACAAAGCCCTAAGAGAATGAAAACTGTAGGAGTAAAATATGATTAATAGTAGACAAGTACTAATTGATTTTGCAGTTCAGAGAAAGACAAAATCTAAGCTGACTATATGGAAGCCCAAAAAGAGACTGCTTGTTACAGTAAAACCAAGACAAATTCATGAAACAGAGGTACTGGGCACCTCCAAAACTGGGTGTGTAGATAAGTCTTATGATAGAAAGTTCATGGTTGAAACCATGTAAGAGGCAAATTACAATTCCCAGATTTCTTCCCCCAGTTACAAAGAAGACAGACTACCTTTCATATACAGGACTCAATGACAACAGGCATAGCTGGTGGGGTAGAAGGTAGGAGATGGAAAAAAGAATAGGGAGATTAAGTGAAATTCTACTTTCTGAACTGAGAATTCTGGCCTTTTCCTTCCCTCTTGGCAACCAAAATGCTGGCAGGTAGGTTTATTCCCTTTCCACACAAAAAACCTGGAAAATCTAATGCACACCCCACGCTGCCCAAAAGGTTCTATGGATAATTACAGTTGGAGATTTACCACTGAAATGGCCCAATCAGATCCCTGTACAGTGAAGCTCACAGTTCACAAGCTCCACCCATGTGCAATGAGCTCCCAATAAGCAAGAGCACTGTTTCTTCATGTTAAGCCTCATTTAATATTTTAAACTATGTACTTTGATAAAATTAAAATAAACACAATGGCAGGTGGAAAAGGCATGGAAAAGTGAAGGAGGATTATCTAAACAGGGGATTTTATTCTTTCATCATTTTTAAATCATTTTTATATATAAGATGAATAAGTAAAAAACAGAATTTTAAAACAAATCATTCTTAATCCTAATAAAGGTACAGGCTAAAATAGGATACCTAAAAAGTGAAAGTACTCAACCTGTATATCCATTAACATAGATGGCAACTCCACTAAAAATTGTAGATGAATTTACATCCTTCTGCATAGCCGCATCTGATCGAAACTGTTCCTCCAATTTCTGGACCTTGGCAGCCATATACCCACCCTAGAATTAAAGAAAAGGTAAACCAATCACAAAAGTTACATTTTCTCTCCTCTCCCCTTTTTTAAAAAGCAACTTATACTTAAAAAATGAACTAAATAAAAGGACCTTATTTGTGTTAGCAACCAATATATAATGATGACTTCTTAAACATGAATCACAAGGTAAGGCAATAAACAGGCAAGTCAAGGAAGACTTTGCCCTCTGTCAACTTAACTTTTAATAATTTTATTATATTCTTACTATGATAAAAGTTACTTTTAAAGAAAAAAATTAAGTCAATAATAATAACCTTCACAACATACATACTTATGTACATAATTGTGCAAGTTACATCAAAGTTTAAACCAATTAGAGGTTTTACAAGAAGTCTAAGAGCATATTTTAGACTGGCTTCCACTATTTTCTGTATAGGGAGCTTAAAAATGAATTATTTCAATTAAAATAAAGCAACTGGACAAATCAGTACAGTCTTCCACACATGTGGATAAGAATACAAGGAACAACTCAGAGGCTAAATTCTGGACCTAATCAATCTATTTAATAATAGTACTAAGTTTCATTAGATAATAACTATCAACCTCACAAAGAACATAAAATTATTATCTTTGCTAAACACTTCGACAGATCTACAAATTCAGCCATAATTGTCCCGAACCTTGAAATAATTAAGCTTGATTGATGTGAATTATTAGGTCTTTAAATTAAAGTTGTAGGTGGCTAGAAGTAGTACATACCCTTTTCCCAAAATGGTAATGGCTTGTTTTCACTAATTATTAAAATATTACACATTCATTATAAAATTTTTTTCCCAGAAAATATAGGGAGTATAAAGAAGAAAATTAAAATTGCTATAATCCCATTCATTAACATTTTGGGGCATTATTTTCAAGGCTTATCTCTATATCTTGGAAAATAGAGGTTTTACAAAAATATGATCATACATAATATTCCTTTAAAACACCAGTTTTAGTCAAGACTATCCTCCCAGGTTAAGAAATATAAAGTTAGGCTGGGCGTGGTGGCTAACGCCTGTAATCCTAGCACTCTGGGAGGCCGAGGTGGGTGGATTGCTCAAAGTCAGGAGTTCGAAACCAGCCTGAGTGAGACCTCGTCTCTACTAAAAAAGGAAAGAAATTAATTGACCAACTAAAAATATATATAGAAAAAATCAGCTGGGCATGGTGGCGCATGCCTGTAGTCCCAGCTACTTGGGAGGCTGAGGCAGAAGGATCACTTGAGCCCAGGAGATTGAGGTTGCTGTGTGAGCTAGGCTGATGCCACTACTACACTCACGCCACAGCACTCACTCTAGAGCCTGGGCAACAAAGTGAGACTCTGTCTCAAAAAAAAAGAAAAAAAAAGAAATATAAAGTTAATGACTGCACAGTGTTCCCCTATATATAGATAATTTATTTGACCAATCTCCATAATTGGATATTTATATTTGCTCGTTTTTCAGTATTATTAGCAATCATGTAATAAAAGCATCACACAATAAATTTTTGTACACTAGCATATTTATTTCTTCCGAATAAAATTCCTGAGAGTAAAGTAAGGGGGTTAAAGTTTATAAATATTATAAGACTTTCAATACACTGTGAAAACTCAAAGAGTTGGTGTCTAAAGTGATTTACAATTTTAAAATACCTTAAGTCACATTATAAACTAAAAACAAAATGAAAAATACCTAAACAGTTCAATATAATTTTTATTCTTTTAAAACACACCCATTTTTCCCAGCCATCATTTTCAGCTCGCTTTCTCCATCCACCTCGCCTCATGGTGGAGCCTCTGTATTGGGGGGAAAAAGAAATATGTCAATTTTATATAACATAATATACTCCCCATTGATATTTTATTTCACTGTCAAGAAAAACTAAATAAAAATAAATTCAAATGTTCAATTAATGAAAGTCAAAAGTGTAATACTGAGTAAACTTTTTCCAAAGTGTATCATTTTCCAACTTTACAAGTGAAATCTGTTCCTAAAACACCCTCCTACAGGTAAGTATATTTAAATTATCTTAAATTTCAATAGGAAAAATTGCAGACATTCCTGAGTACCAACCCTAAAAGGCACTTACATAAAACATCACCAAATCCAACTAACATGGCCATGTTTAATTAACTTGTTACCATTAATTAGTGTAACAGAACCTAATAAAACATTTCCCTTCATGAACTGCCCCATAGTATGACTCCTAAACTCTGTCTTTGCTATTACATATTGGACACTTAAAAGGCTGAGGCAGGAGCCCAAGAGTTCGGGTGACAGAGACAGAGTCTGTCTCAAAAAAATTAATTATTTTAATTAAAAATTAAATTAACTAATAAATTAAATTATTAATACATTAATTAAAAGAAATGTGGTTGTGTTAAATGAAAATTTTGCCTAATTCCAAAGCTTTAAAAATGTGTTTTAATTAAATTTAAAGAAACTAAATGGATATAAAAGTTAGGAAAGAAAGGTAAAAATTATAGAAGGTTTATAAAAATCTTACTTTATGGTCAAATTAAAATTAGATAAATTTGTTAATGGAGTTTTACTAAAATTAGCTTTAGCGCTAATGACATTAATATAAATGTAAAATTTAGTTTTATTTGAATAAAAACGTTGTGTAATGTTAATAGATAATAAAAATTTTTGTTTACCTGCTTAGTAAACGTAAAAACAAAAAGAGGAGAAAGAAAAAACAGGTTCAATGTGTCTCTTCATTAGCTTGTCTGCAGTATATTAGGTTTTATGAATGAGGAACTAAATCTCTCCATCAAAGAATAAAGGTTTTGCCTCCTGAAATCTCAAAATTATCTCTATGGCTAAATGATTTATTTTATAATAACCTGTGACCCTATTTTAAACAAATGTTTTAAACTTTTGATATTTGACAAAGTTTCCAAACTCAAAATTTTAAATCTAGTCCTCAAACTAGCTTTTTAAGTATTAGAGCCACTTAAAAAAAACCTCTTATTTGGTATGTTCATACCACACAGGAAAAATTGTCAAATATGAAATGGTGTTTAATTTTCCTTGGGTTATATTTGTATAAATAAATTATAACTATGTGTTCCAATATCATATGAGATTCCTAAAATTCTGATATGTCTTAAGATATGTTATCAATAATCATGATTATGTTAAATTGTTATATACCACAAAAATAACCAAATACTTTTGTCAATTGTCTCCTTAACCATAACTAGTCTAAGACTTTGTTTTTATCATCCAGACAATTATTATCTTACTGTGATTCTTCTCAAAAAGTTGTTTAACTACCTAAAGTCCAAAATTTGCTTAACAAAAGTCATGGAAAGAACTGACAAGTACTCTTGAATACAGGTTTCTTTAACTTTGGAGATCATTCCACTTGAAACTAGAAAAAAACTTCCAAAACTTTAATTAAAAAGCTAATGCATTCACGAAGATGACTAATCCAATGTGAAACACACACACACAAAATAGTACATGGTACTGAATTAATTTTTTATGACTTTCTGTTTAAACGTTACTTATTATTTTGTCTTCCAGAGTCAAGACCAATATTGAACAAATACCAACGTTTACCTGATATCTCCAGAATTTAAAACTATTGAATCCTGGCTGGCCCAACTCTTATCCACTGCCAATGCCCAGCTCTGATTTTTGTTACCAGAGAAAATCACTTTTAACAAAGAAAGGAAAGAAGAAAGAAAGAAAAGAGGACCACAAAACAACCAGAAATGAAACAACATAGCAGTAGTAAATCCTTACCTATCAATAATAACATTGAATGTGAATGGACTAAACTCTCCAATCAAAAGACACAGAGTGCCTGAATGGATTAATAAAATAAGAGCCAACTATATGTTGTCTGCAAGAAACACACTATAAAGACAGACTGAAAATAAGGGGATGGAAAAATATATTTCATGCACATGGAAACCAGAAAAAAGCAGGAACAGCTATACTTCTATCAGATAAAATAGATTTCAAGACAAAAAGTGTAACAAGAAACAAAGAAGGTTATGATAAAGCAGTCAATTCAACAAGAGGATATAATAATTTTATACACACACAACACTGTAGTACCCAAATATATAAGCAAGTATTATCAAAGCTAAAGATAGAGATAGATTCTCTAATGCAATAATCACTGGAGAGCTCAACACCCCTCTTTCAACAATGGGCAGATCATCCAGACAGAAAATCAACAAAGAAACATTGGACTTAATCTGCACTTTAGATCAAATGGATCCCCATTCTTCTCCTAGCTCATGAATCATTCTTAAGGATAGACTATATGTTAGGCCACAAAACAAGTTAAAAAATTCAAAAAAACTGAAGTATTTTCTCTGACAATAGAATAATACCAGAAATCAATAATAAGAGGAACACTGGAAACTATACAAACAATGGAAATTAAACAATATGCTCCTGAATTACAAGTGGATCAATGAAGAGATTAAGAAAAAAATTTTTTAATTTCTTGAAACAAATGAAAATGAAAACACAACATATCAAAACCTATGGGATACAACAAAAGCAGTAAGAGGAGGAAAGTTTATAGCAATAAGTGCCTACATCAAAAAAGTAGAAAAGCTTCAAATAAACAACCTAACAATGCATCTCAAAGAACTAGAAAAACAAGAGCAAACCAAACCCAAATAGAAGAAAAAAAAATGATAAAAGCAGACATTAATGAAATTGAAACAAAAAATTACAAAAGATCAATGAAATGAAAAATTGTTTTGAAAAGACATACAAAATTGACATACCTTTAGCCAGACTAAAAAAAGAGGGAAGACTCAAATAAATAAAATCAGAGATGGAAAAGGGGACATTGCAACTAATACTGCAAAAATCCAAAGAATCATTAGAGATTACTATGAACAACTATTTGCTAATAAATTGGAAAACCTAAAAGAAATGGATAAATTACTAGACACATACAACCTACCAAGATTGAACCAAGTATTCAAAGAACTATTATCATACTACTACATAAATTATTTCCCCCCCAAACTGAAAAGAGGTAAGACTCCCAAACTCAAATCTAGGAGGCCCACATCACCTTGATACAAAAACCAAAGGCACAACAAAAAAAGAAAACTATAGGCCAATATCTCTGAACACAGATGCAAAAATCCTCAACACAATACTAGTAAACCAAATTGAACACCACAATAAAAGATTATTCATCAGGATCAAGTGGTATTCATCTCAAGGATACAAGATGGTTCAACATACCCAAATCAATCAATGTGACACATCATATCAACAGAACAAAGGACAAAAACCATATGATTATTTCAAATGATGCTGAAAAAGCATTCAATAAAATTCAACATCCCATCATGATAAAAACTCAAAAACCTGGGCACAGAAGGAACTTACCTCAACACGATAAAAAGCCCATACAACACACCCACAGCTAGTATCATACTGAATGGGGAAAAACTGAAGACCTTTCCTCTAAGATCTTGAACATGACAAGGGTGCCCACTTTCACACTGTTAACATAGATAGTATTGGAAGTTCTAGCTAGAGCAATCAGACAAGAGAAAGAAACAAAGGGCATCCAAATTGGAAATGAAGAAGTCAAATTATCCTGGTTTGCAGATGATATGATCTTACATCTAGAGAAACCTAAAGACACCACACACACACACAAAAATCCTTTTAGAATGGATAAGCAAGTTCAGTAAAGCTGCAGTACACAAAATCAACATACAAAAATCAGTAGCATTTCTATATGCCAATATTAAATGATCTGAAAAAAGATACTAAGAAAATAATCCCATTTATAATAGCTACAAATAAAATAAAATACCTATGAATAAATTTAACCGAAGTGGTAAAAGATCTCTATGATGAAAACTATAAAACATTGATGAAAGAAATTGAAGAGGGCATAAAACAATGGAAAGATATTCCATGCTCATGGATTAGAAGAATCAACACTGTTAAAATGTTCACATGATCCAAAGAAATCTACAGATTTGATACAATCCCCATCAAAATACCAAATGACACAGAAAGAGAAAAAATAATCCTAAAATTTATACGGAACCACAAAAGACCCAGAATAGCCAAAATCACCTTAATAAAAAGAACAAAACTGGAGGAATGACATTATCTGACTTCAAACTATATTATAAAACTACAGTAACCAAAACAGCATGGTACTGGCATAAAAACCAGACACATAGACCAACAGAACATAGAGAACACAGAAACAAATCCACACATTTACAGTGAACTTAATTTTTGATAAAGATGCCAAGAACATACTGTGGGGAAGGAACAGTTTTTTTCAATACATCGTGCTGGGAAAACTGGATATCCACATGCAGAAGAATGAACTAAACTCTCATCTCTCACCATACAAAAATCAAATCAAAATGGATTGAAGACTTAAACCTAAGACCTGAAATCATGAAACTACTAAAAGAAAACATTGGGGAAACACTTCAGGACATCAGTCTGGGCAAAGACTTCTTGAGTAATACTCCCAAAGCACAGACAACCAAAGCGAAATTGGACAAACAGGATCACATCAAACTAAAAAGCTTCTGCACAGCAAAGGAAACAATCAACAAAGGGAAGATACAACCCACAGAATGGGAGAAAATATTTGCAAGCTACCTATCTGACAAGGGACTAATAACTAGAATATACAAAGGACTCCAACAACTCAACAGGAAAAAAATCAAATAATCCGATTAAAAAATGGGCAAAGGATCTGAATAGACATGTCTCAAAAGAAGACAAGTGGCCAACAAATATATCAAAAAACGCTCAACATCATTAGTCA